TAGTCTGAACAAGCATTATGTTGTTGTTTAGTCGTTAAGTCATGTCCGACTCTTTGTGACCCCATGGACCAGAGCACGCCAGGCCCTCCTGTCTTCCATGCCTCTCAGAGTTGGGTCAAATTTATGTTGATAGCTTCAGTGGCACTGTCCAATCATCTCATCCTCTGTCGTCCCCTTCTCCTCTTGCCTTCACACTTTCCCAACATCAAGCTCTTTTCCAACGAGTCTTCTCTTCTCATGAGATGGCCAAAGTACTGGAGCCTCAGCTTCAGGATCTGTCCTTCCAGTGAGCACTCAGGGTTGATTTCCTTTAGAATTGATAGGTTTGTTCTCCTTGCAGTCCAGGGCACTCTCAAGAGCCTCCTCCTGCACCACAATTCAAAGGCATCAATTCTTTGGCGGTCAGCCTTCTTTATTGTCCAGTTCTCACTTCCATACATCGCTACTGGAAAAACTATAACTTTGACTATGCGGATCTTTGTCGACAAGGTGATATCTCTGCCTTTTAAGATGCTGTCTAGGTTTGTCATTGCTTTCCTCCCAAGAAGCAGGAGTCTTTTAATTTCGGGGCTGCTGTCACCATCTGCAGTGATCATGGAGCCCAAGAAGATAAAATCTGTTACTGCCTCCGTATCTTCCCCTTCTATTTGCCTGGAGGTGATGAGACCAGTGGCAATGAGCTTCCTTTTTTTTGATGATGAGCTTCAGACCATTTTTTGCACTCTCCTCTTTCACCCTCATTAAGAGGTTCTTTAATTCCTCCTCACTTCCTGCCATCAGAGGGTATCATCTGCACATCAGAGGTTTTTTATTTTTTATTTTTTATTTATTTATTTATTGTATTTATACCCCACCTATCTAGTCATTTCGACCGCTCTAGGTGGCTAGGTTGTTGATATTTCTTCCGGCAATCTTAATTCCCGTTCTGGATTCATCCAGTCCTGCCTTCGCATGATGTATGTTCTGGATTCATCCAGTCCTGCCTTTCGCATGATGTATTCTGCATATATGTTAAATAAGCAGGGAGACAATATACAGCCTTGTTGTACTCCTTTCCCAATTTTGAACCAATCAGTTGTTCCATATCCAGTTCTAATTGTTGCTTCCTGTCCCATGTATAGCTTCTCAGAAGATAGAGAAGGTGGTCAGGCACTCCCATTTCTTTAAGTACTTGCCATAGTTTGCTATGGTCCACACAGTCAAAGGCTTTTGCATAGTCAATGAAGCAGAAGTAGATTTTTTTGGAACTCTCTGGCTTTCTCCAGCTTGCACTTCTGGGAGTTCTCGGTCCACATACTGCTGAAGCCTACCTTGTAGGATTTAAGCATAAACTTGCTAGCATGTGAAATGAATGCAATTGTATGGTAGTTGGAACATTATTTGGCACTGCCCTTCTTTGGGATTGGAATGTAGACTGATATATATAAGTTAGTTTTTAAGGTGCCATCACGTTTTTGTCTCCTTTTTGTACTTTTCTTTGCTTTTACCTATACAGTAATCTTAAAACATAAATGTGTAGTTGACAAAAACAAAACAAAGCTTGCAATGATGTAATACAAATTATTTTCTAATTTGTGAGCCCAATATTTGAAACTTCCATGTATCTGAATTTTTAATTTTTATCGTGCTTTGAGTGGATAAAAGTAATTTGCCACAGTGGAAGCCCTTTGCCCCCCCAGATGTTTCAGTGTTCAGTTTTCTGAAGCTCAAGCCAGCATGATCACTCATACAGGTTTGTGGCTATTTTAGCTGAAAACATACTACAGAGGGCTAAAGGCTCTCCAGCATTGGTATATAGAAACCAAGATTGTGTCTCAAGGGCAGAAAGTATCTTAAACAACCCTCTTGCACCAGAAAACCTAGATCAACCTCTCTATGGGATGAGGTTTTATCAGTGTTTTTATCAATGTTTATTATGTGTATACAGTGTCTGGCAATAAACACATAATTCAGAAATCTTACTTTTTAAAAACAGAAACAAAAAGTGAAAATAACCCTAACTACTGCACATGCAAGGCCTGCAAGAAGGATTAACTTTGGCAAAAGATATTGGGGCTGAGTGTGTGAGGAAACTGAGTGTGGCTTAAATGATAAAATATAAGAAATAAATGTTCCTATTACACAGCAGATAAAATGGTTCAAGTACTAAACTACAGGCTAACAGGAACCTCTGGCAAAGCCCTCCTATTATCTTCTGTGTAAAAATGGACTAAGCTATTGCTATTGCTTAGCTAGAAGTGTGAAAGCTTTGAGGGCACAGGAGTTCAGGATGCTGAGCCAGAACCAAAGCTGGAATAGGATAGGAACCAAGCACACTACAGTCTATGTCCTTTACAGGGCTTCCTAAAGAGGGAAAGCTGTGCAGAATCCAGACACATATTTCTTAGAAATTCAAATATAAGTGTTGGGCAAAGAAAAGAGACCATGGAAGGAAGATGAGGTCCTGGTGTCTGCATGGCTTAATCCTCTGATCTCTTGAGAGAAGTCTTAGGGCTCAATTTCATTGACAATAAAACCTGTTGTTGTACCAGGTTCTGCTTTAAAATATATATATATTTTAAATTTTACCATAAACACAAGATACATGCCAAGCAGATTTTCTGCTCCTCCACCAGAGGTCCATTGATTTTGCAGTGCATGTACATAGAATCGATTCATTCCACATGAATTCCTGCTATCTAATATAGCACTATACCAGATAGCAAGAAATAAAAATAAATAATAAATAAAAAAGAAAAGCATCATGCTTGCCGAAAAGGCCAGGCCCCACCTGATCACTCGCCCCCTTACCTGCCCGATTGCTTGTCTGCGTCCCGCCTGTCTGCTCTTCATCACACATTTTCTGGAAGCTTAAAGAGCTCAGCTACTCTGGGAGTAAAGCCCTGAAGTTCATTGAATTACTTTGGACCTGTCCTATCTCAATCTGACCTTCTGTCCAGGGTTGCTATTAGAATGAAGGAAAAATGACACATGCATTGCCTTAGCTTATTGAAGAAAATGTGAGGTATGAATGTGAATAAACAAATGGAAGTAAAGAGACTTCCATTCAAATTTGAATTAACTGTGAACTTTCTCATGTGCCTATTTAAAACCCTTGCTTTGATATGGAAATTAACACATGAAAACTTTAAAAAGTGAAATTATGGATGGGATTTTTCACCTTGGTTTTTAGTGTCATAATATATGTTTAAATGTCAATATAATATTAGCTTTTTTTAAAAAATCCATTTCAGCATGAATGTAACTGATTTTTTTTGCTTTTTCATGAATAACAACATTAATTCTTTCCCACTAAACTTGCCATTTCTGTTCTCAGCCTTGCCTTTACCCAACATGCTATCTTTCAGAATAAAGAAATATGTACCATGTGGGAAGTAAGTGAACAGAGATTATAAAAAAATTTCATGAATAACAACATTAATTCTTTCCTACTAAACTTGCCATTTCTGTTCTCAGCCTTGCCTTTACCCAACATGCTATCTTTCAGAATAAAGAAATATGTACCATGTGGGAAGTAAGTGAACAGAGATTATAAAAAAAAAAATGGGGAGAAATCACATTGTGATGACTTTTCCATATTAAAAGGGGTAGCATAAATTAAGGGTGCGGTCCCTCTGCCTATTTGAATCGATTCCTGTTCTGACTTTTCTACATCAGTATTAAGTCATACAGTATAGAAATTGATAGCTATGTTCACTTTGACTTAAATTAATTCAATTTATTTCTGGTAATTAAAATCAGTTTTGGTGGCTACACAGATAAAATAATCTCATTTCTTTTCTTGTTTAGCAGCACACTGTTTCCTTTTGGCAATTTTTTTAAAAAGGTGATATATCACTAAATCGATGTCTGTCTTCATCAGAGAAATTATTCTAAACATCACCAAAGAGCCACTTTTTGTCATATAGTTTGAAGAACAAAAGGAGAGAAGCACTGAAGAGGAAAGCACAAGTTAAAATAATGTTTCATCGTCCGAAAGGAGTAAAGTGGGATATGGTTGTAATATAGAACATATTTATGAGGGTATAAACTCTTCACATACAAAAGAAGTTTGTAGTCACAGTGCATTAAGTGATGCATCAATAACCATTTTAAAAAGGATGTTTTAAAACTGGAGTGGCAAAACCATGATGCCAATGACACTCAAGATCAACAAAGGCATTAAGTAAATCAACAGTAGTGTTCACAACCATTAACACAATTTGAAATAAATCAATTTACAAGTGAGATAATTTTAAAAGCCCCTGCCAACTAACTTTAAAAAAAAATCATTTTGCAGCCTAAATAAATTGTTTCCACCTGTGCATCATGTACCTTTGGAATTTATAAATTGATTAAAATAATGAGTTTAGTTTATTTTTTTATATTACTGTATATGTAAACCACCCAGAGTAGACCCATTCTAGATGGGTGATATATCAATCAATCAATCAATCAATCAATCAATCAATCAATCAATCAATCAAACAAACAAACAAACAAACAAACAAACAAATAAAATGCTTAAATTAATATAATTGTGGTTCTTATTCCCAGTGAGAGCACACCGTCAACTAGAGATGAAGTGTGTGTGTGCATGTGCGTGTGTGTGTGTGTGTGCGCGTGCGTGCACGTGTGTGTGTTTTTAGCAGCATGCGCATGCGCAAGTGTATAATCACCATCTGCTGTTGGATATTTTTTTCTCAGGAACTATGACCAGGAAATCACGTTTTGTCTTAATGCCAAATATTAAACAAAATAATTAAAAGGTGGGGAGAAAGACCATCAACATGCAGAATGTTTATTTTAAAAATATTAAAACCTGTCTATAAAACTATAATTTGTGTTTTGTGTAGACTCCTATTCAACAGCACTCAACTGTCAAATTATTTGGTTATGGAAAGCTGAAAGATGCTATTTATGATTGGAGTGCTTTCCTTGTCACTGTGGTAACACTTTGCTGTGGATCAAAGTTCAGCTGTTTTACATCTTTATTACCACTGCTCTTAGTCCAAAGTTTATGAGCATAAACCTGCTGCCAACATAAACGCCAACGACAATAACCTCCACCTCTTACAATTTGTGGATTTCTCATTAAAGGAGTGAAGAATCAAACTGAGAAGTGTAGCAGAAAGCTGAATCGAACTTCATTTGGGCAAAACACTTTACCTTCTGACAAAAATGCCATCCAGGAGAAAATCTCTGATGTTTGCTTCTGCCTCCATCACCAGCCTCTGCTCCTTTGTGATAGTTTGTCTTGTTCTTGCAACCAAAAACTGGGTCTCAAGTGAGATTAGCTACACTGAGGGAAATTCTACAGTGAAGATAATGATTACATATGGACTTTTTGAAGGATTCTGCTCAATAGCTGTAGTTGAAGGAATTGGTAAACCAGACACAAATTTCCAAGGTAAATAATTATTGTGAGTGAATGTGCGTGTTTCGTTGAATCCAACCTGTCTTGGTTCATTATGAATCACAAGTCATGTCTATGTTTATACAGTACATTGCTTATGCATTGCCATTTTTATAGAAGACAATAAACTATTATTAATTTTATAGAAGACAAGAATGTCACCAGGAAGCAACAAGTTATAGAATTAAAAACGTAGATGCAGGTGTTTTACAAATAAACCTTTCAAAATCATCAACAAAATTGTTACTCTAGCTAGAAGCATTAAAATGATAATGAAGGAGGAAAGTTATTTAAATCTGGAAGAACAGTAACCTATAGATAATTTGGTACTATTAGACAACCCTTAGAAAATACTGTATTGCAACGATAGAAGTCTCTCAGGGGCTGTTTAGCTTGAGAAACAGGCAAGTAAATACTGTAGAAATAGAAATATATACAATTGTGCACGATGTGGAGATTATACAGATTCCACCCCCACCCCCACCCCCGTTCTCTTAATAGTAGAAGCTGGAATCACCCACTAAAATTAAATAGTAGGAGATTCAGGAAGGAAGTAATCTTCAAGTAGCACATAGTTAAACAGTGAGGTTTATTACTACATATGTAGCAATGACCAACAGTTTGTGCAGCTTTAACTGGAGGTTAGACACATTTACGGAGGACAAGGCAATCCACGGCTGCTTGCCATGATGACTACTAGCTGCTTGGCCATCGTGTGCAGAGAAGGCTGGACCAGACATACCTTTGGGTGGATCTAGCAGATCTTCTTAGGTCACAATATTTATTGCTATGACATGCATTATTGTAATAATGGGCACAGCTCCTAAAATTATAATGGACATTTCACTAGAGTCTACATATGGAAACCTCTAACATGAGTTCTAGAACTTTCTTCATGCTCTTAAGATTATGAAGCTAAAAGCACTGGTTCGGTGTAATATTCCAGATAGCTGATCATTCACATGAACATTCATGTGAGCACTGTCATGTCACAACAGCAAGATCATACAAGGCTGTCATTTCTCCGAGAGAGATTTACAATATTGGCATACGGTCATTTTTCTAGAGCTACATTACAAGTAGGTTGCTTGTGTGATCATTAATTAGTACAAGTGAAGCAGCTGCAATATGATGGAAATTTCTCAAGGGCATCATCATTTTATGGTAAAATGCCATAGCTGCTTTTTTCAGATGTATTCTCCACATGTCTAGGCTCCACCTTTTGTTTCCTGCATGCTTTTGTTTCCCACATCCTTGGTTGTCTTCAAATTGTTTACTTATTTATTTTCCTGATTCTAAAGGACAAAGCTTCTGAAATGCTAGATGGATGCATACTAAATGCATCTCAGTGAATAATTGACACACACACAGAGAGATTTAAATGGCTAAAATATGTTCACACAATCTTGTCAGATCTGAAAGGAAATGCATACAATAGACTGTTGATACACATAATATTTCTCCAATAAATACTGTACTATATTTAGCAAATTAAGCTGGGCTTTGAAGAACTATTTTACTGAAATGATCAAGGAGCTGTGACAGTTCCTATGAAAGTAAAATATGCTTATAACATTTGGGTCAGCTTATGTTAGAGAAAACATGTGAGTTACCAAGCATGTATACAATTGTATATAGTACAGAGAAAGTGGATAAGGAGTGTTTTTGGGGGATTGTTGCCTATATGGGTAGCTTTCCTCACAATGGCCAACTTCTGTTTCATAGATAATGGGTTTCTGCAGACCAGTTGTTCTGTGACATCTCCAGGAGATGGCTACTGCTGTCCTATCCTCATCGTGGGCTTCTCATAGGGATCTGGTTGATCATTTTGGGACCAGACCTTTTTCTCATCTCTGTTCCTCCTCTTATGTTTGTTACTTTGTAGAAAATGGTAGACAAGCTAAAATGAGTGGTGCAAAAAATATTTCAGTGTACAGTAAATAAAATCCCTTGCTGAGACCCTTCCTTCCTTCCTTCCCCATTTCCAGCTTATGCTGACCATATGAATGAGCAACCTCCAAATGTTCTATTATTAGCAGCCCTCTTACTTCTTGCAACACAAGACCATGGCTTCTTTTACTGAGTCATTCCGTTTCATATTTGGACTTCCTCGTTTACTGCTGCCTTCAACTTTTGCTAGCATTGTTGTCATCTCCAGCATGAATCGTCTCATAATTTGTTCAAGCACAACAGCCTCTGTTTTGTCATTTTTGATTCCTTATACTGGATAGTAATCTGCACATTGCCTAACAAACTGTTTATCTCTAAAATCTTTGCTATTAAGTTTTGGAAATTTGATACTTTGTTTCAGTGTGAAATTAGGTTTTAGATTCCCATAAAAATTTGTTCTGTTTTTGTTGGAAAAGATGATGAATTCCGGTCAAAGAGACTGAATTGGTTCAAAACATTTCACAGGTTTAGTGTCCAATTAAAAACTTTAATAAAACAATAAAAGATCGACAAGGAAAACATGTCCTGTCATATTCAGGACTGTTGTTGCTATGTGCTGTCAAGCCACCCCTAACTTATGGTGACCCTATGAACAAGAAAGCTCCAAAGTGTCCTGTCCTCAACAGCCCTGCTCAGCTCTTGTAAACTCAAGCCTGTGGCGTTCTTCATGGAATCAATCTATCTCATATTTGATCTTCCTCTTTAACTGCTGCTTTCAGCTTTTCCCAAGTATTATTCTCTTTTCTAGTGAATCCAGCTTTCTCATTAAGTGCCCAAAGTATAACAGTCTCAGCATCATCAATTTTGCCTCCAGAGATAGTACAGAGATAGTATTTGCAATGCTCTTCTCCAGCACCATATTTCAAAAGGATTAATTTTCTTCCTGCCAGCTTTCTTTACTGTCCAGCTTTCATATCTGTACATGTATTGGAAATACAATATTGCATTGGGAATACAATAGTGTAGATGTTCTTGACCTTGGTCTCCAGTAACACATCTTCACCCTAGATTATCTTTTCTAGTTCCTTCACTGCTGCCCTTCTGAGTCAAAGTCTTCTTCTGATGGCTTGGCTACAGTCTCCGTTTGGTTTTAGAATTAACCAAAGTATACAAAACCTTTCACTATTTGAATTTCTTCACTGTCAATGTTAAAGTTGTGTAGTTCTTCTGTAGTCATTTAGGTTTTCTTAATATTCAACTGCAGTCCTGCTTTGGTACTTTCTTCTTTCACTTTTCCTAATAGTCATTTCAAGTCATTGCTGTTTTCTGTCAGTAAAATGATATAATCTACATATCTTACAATACGGATATTTCATCCACCAATTTTCATTCCTCCTCCTTCTGAATCTAGAATAACGTTTTATATGATATGTTCTGCACATGGATTGAACAGACAGGGAGATAAAATGCACTTATTTTGTTGCTGTTTAGTCGTTTAGTCATGTCCAACTCTTCGTGACCCCATGGACCAGAGCACGCCAGACCTTCCTCTCTTCCACTGCCTCCTGAAATTGGGTCAAATTCATATTGGTAGCTTCGATGACACTGTCCAGCCATCTCGTCCTCTGTTGTCCCCTTCTCCTCTTGCCCTCACACTTCCCCAACATCAGGGTCTTTTCCAGGGAGTCTCTCTTCTCATGAGATGGCCAAAGTACTGGAGCCTTAGCTGGTGCCTTTGCTGAAACTATTCTGTCTCTCTGTATCCTGCCTAACTGTAGCTTCATGCTCACAATACAGGCTATGCACCAAGATAATAAAGTGCCGAGATACACCCATTTCCTTCAGAACAACCCATAGCTTCTCATAATCACATAGTCAAACTCCATTCTGAAGTTCCAAAATCAGTTTTTCATAAGACCTCGCATTTTATGAAAGTTGCTAAACCATTGTTTTCTGTGCATCACATCTCAGTGTATTGTACTGGGCAGCCATCTCCCAGGTAGAATGTCTAGAGATTCTTCTGTTAATACTGGGGATTGAATGTGAAAGCAGAATGAAGCCGTGCTGTAAAAACTATGCCGTGTGAATTAGACAGATGACATTATACAGCAGTTCTCAAGTGGCAAGGAATTTGCTGGCAAGAGCAATTTTCTTCTGCATTAAATGGTCAGTTAATTAGTAGCCTTACAGCAAACGAACAAAGACCTTTGATATTATCCTCAAAATTTATTGTGGAGTTCTACTCTGCTAAACAGTAAACTTGATCTTCTATTTAACTTTCTGAATGTTAACAGTGCAAAGCACACAAAGCTTGATCAAAGTCACAGAATCTTAATAGGCTGCCATTAACAATTTATATGACATCATAAACAACCGTGCCTTCTTCAGCTTTGCAGAACATAGACGCAATGAACTGGCCCAGACCCAGAAACTGTTAAGTCACCTCTTAGTATTTTTAATTTATTTTGTTCTATTCTTAAACACCTACCAGATAGGACTTGAACTGCATTTTCAATACTGTCTGCTGAGAAAAGAAAAGTGGCATTGACTGTTTCATCTTCTGTGTTTCCCCGAAAATAAGACAGGGTCTTATATTAATTTTTTTGTTCCAAAAAACGCATTAGGGCTTATTTTCAGGATGTTTTATTTTTTTCATGTACTTTATAGTAATCTATAGATTCAAATACAGTCATGTTTTCTTCTGGTTGCTGCACAGTGGTGGAGGTTTTTTTTTCACTTAACTGGGGCTTATTTTTAAGGTAGGGCTTATATTACGAGCATCCTGAAAAATCATGCTAGGGCTTATTTTCAGGTTAGGTCTTATTTTCGGGAAAACCGGGTAGCTTCCATTTAATGTGAAATAAACCTGTCAAAATATAGATACCTCTGTCATAGCATTTGTCAGAATACTCATTGAAATGAAGGAAGGAAATCAGGAAGATGGCCAAGCTAGCCACTACTGCACCCATGCCAAACTGGTTTCCAGGGCCAATAATCATTCTGCTAGGTAGATCCTCTGCTGCAACTCCCTTTCTGTCCGCCCGTCCTTGAAAATCAAAGGAGGAACACCTTAATCTCTGATATTGCCATGTGTTGTCAAGTCACTTTCTACTTACAGCACTGCTATGGATCAATGACTTCCAAAACGAATTAACAACCCTGCTAAGGTCATGCAAACTAGGTATTTTTTTATTGAGTAAATCCATGTCATGTTCAGTTTTCCTCTTTTTCTACTGCACTCCACTTTCCCTAGTACTACTGTATTGACTTTTCTAGGGGCTTAAGAATAATTCATTTGTCTTTCTGACAGTCCAAACTGTACATTAACCATAATGTTCTTTTCCAACACCACATTTCATGGATTTTTTTTCTTTTCAGTTTTCTTCACTCCCAGCTTTCACGTTAGTTACATAGTAATGAGATAGCATAACACAATACTATGGTTAATCTTGGCCTTGAGCTGTAACAGCACATCCTTTTACTTAAGGAATTTTTCTAGTTCCTTCAGCGTTGCCATTCCAAATTCCAGTCCTCTTCTGATTTCTTGGCTCCAGTCTCCGTTTTGACTAAGGGTGGAACTGAGGGTATAGAAAAGCTTTAACAATTTTGATTTCTTAATTAAAAGTTATCTAGTACTCATGGCTTTGGCCTTCCTAGCATTCAACTGCAGTCATTTTATTTTTCAACCTTTATCAGTCACTGTTTCAAGTCACTGTTGTTTTCTGCAAATTATATGGCATCATTTATATATCTTAAAAGTTTTGTGATTTCCCCATCATTTCCCACTCTTTCTGAGAATCTAATCCAGCCTTTGAATACTGTTCAAACATACATGGAGGTGAAATGTATCCTAGTCTGATACCTTTGCCAATAAGAAACTATTCTGTTTTTCCACATCTGACCTAACAGCACCTTCTCATCAAGAGTATATTAGGATAATCAAATATTGTGACACACAGACACAACATCTGTATCTTTTCATGGTTAACATAGTTTAAAGCTTTACTATCATCTGTAAAGCCCACATTAATTTTCTCTGAAGTTTTTGGCACACTCTAGTAGCTCATATATATTTGCAATATGACCTTTGGTGAATCTTCTTTTTATCTACAGCCAGCTTGGACATCTGGCATTCTCACTTCATACATGTTAATCTTTGTTGTAGAATCTTGAGGATCACTTTGCTTGCTTGGGAAATCCACGCAGTGATCCTATAGTTACAACAGTCATACATATCTCCTATCTGTAGGATTGGAATGTACTTTTATTTTTACAGAGCTCTCTGTGGCTTGAAATTGGTTTATTAGTATCCCATTTAGTTCCAGTGATGTATTTATTCCAATTGTTCTGAAAGCAGCTTTTGCTTCTAACATTGAAGATTCTTCATCACAGGATTCTTGTTTAAAGGAATCTGCCACTCTTGTACCTGCTCTACAGAATTCTTCTTTATGTTGTTTTCACTTAACTTTATTTTACCCTAACCAGATACAGTGTTCCTCTGTTGACCTTTTAGCACCCCTAATCTTAGTAGTTTTGTCTCTCTCTGTGTGTGTGTGTTTTACTGTTCCTTTCTGAAGACATTCTGGGTCTATGCAGTTTGCCCAAGGCTACACAAGCTGGCTCTTCTGGGTTGCACAGTGGGGAATTGAACTTCAAACCTCTGGCTCTACAGTCAGATACCTAACTCATCTCTCTCTCTATCTCTCTATCTCTATATGGCCAGAACTATATGCATGATAGAATTTGGTTTGAACGTGAAGTTACTTTCATAATTTCATATAACATAAGCATTATTGCACTTTAGAAAAGAAAGTATGGTACCATTTTAAAGTATGTCAGATCATCTGCCAAGTAGAAGAGCCCTTCCTTCTCTGCAGAGCTTGCTTGTCCAGTGGGAAGTTGGGCAGCAGTAGCTGTGACAGTGATAGCAACAGTGGCAGCAGCATTGGGGGCACCTCTGACAGCTGGGGAGACCCCTCAATGCCGCTGCTGCCTCAGCCATTGCTGTCCAGCCACCCGATGGCCAAGCAAGCCCTGTGCAGGAGGGTGGCCAACAGAGTCCTTGTCTGCTCCATGTACAATGAAAACAGAGCTGCTGAATCAGACCCCACTCCCTAGCAGGGAGCAACATTGCTGGAAGCCACTGTTGGGAGTAAAAACCTTACTGTGGGTTAAATATACCTAGAAAACTTAGTGAAGGCATGCCATCAATTGACTTGATGGGATGTAATTATATTATTAGGCAGATTTCAGACTTGTGAGGTCTACTTAAGTATTTTATCAGAATCCGTACCTGTAGCCAAATCCTGGTGATAAACAGAGACACAGCTGGTGCCAGTAAACAGAATTTAGATAAAGAGATAGAGCACACAGCAAATTGTTTTCAACACAGATCTGATCTCATTATTGCATAACCCTGCAGCTTTCTTTGTTTCAGCAGCTTCAGTGTGCTTCCCACCCCCAGATTCTCTGTTGCTGTTCTTGTCGGGTGCTAGGTTATTATTGTTGTCAGCCAAGTACCTGAAATACTGAGTGTACTTCTGGGTAGTAGTCATTACAGTTGGTGAGTTTTTACACTTGAACTCAGTTTACATTTGAGTAGCCATGCATGTAAGTGTGTAAGCCTCTGGGGTGAAGTACAGAAATAATACAAAGATCACATGGAAGGATTGGGAAAAGACAGATGAAGTAAATGTGAACTGGGATTTCAGTCAACTTGACTGAATAGCAGGCTGTACTTGTAGGTAAGGATGCTCTCTGGGGAAATTAAACATGACAGATCATATCTAGTGGCAGCTTTCATGAGCACCTACTGTTTCTTAAGGAAGATTGCACATTTTTAGCTCTTTACATGTAAACTCACAGAAATCAGTTCACATGAGGACATTTTTTTATCAGAAGCACGATTTATGTATCTTCTGATACCAACTCTGATTTTTTTTCAGTTTCAGATATTCTGGAAAATACCAAGCTAAAGAGCATCAACATCGTGATTATCGTTCTGCTAGTATTTAATTTGTTCAGTCTCTTACTCAGCTCTGGTTTTACATGCTATAATGCCGTTAGCAATCCTTACCAAACGTTTTTGGGTCCTATTGGGGTCTATACCTGGAATTCCATATCTGGTAAGTCACGTACATTGCAGTATATAACATCTGCAAAAACATGATAATGTGGTATGTATGTGTCTAGCAAATATATCTGAAAAGCAGAGGCAGGGTGGGAACCGCAGTATATAATATCTGCAAAAACATGATAATGAGTTCTAGCAAACATATCTGAAAAGCAGAGGCAGGGTGGGAACAGAAAAAGGAAATAGCCAGTGAATTTATTTGTTTATTTAGTGTTTAACATTACAACGATCAATTTATGTAACATACAAGGATGTAATCCGGAAGCTGGCTTAAAATATATTTTAAAATGTAGGACAAAGTTATGAAATGTCCATATGAAAACCTTCATAAATTCAATCCTCTGCACCAATAGATCTGAAAGCCCACAAAATTAGTGAAGAAAGACCACTAACAATGGTGAATCACAGTGACAGATCATCTCTCCCCCTTATCACAATAATACACCCAAAACAAAAGCACGCTGATCACCATAATCACCCAAACGTCTGAAAAGGACAAAAGCTGATTCCACAGCTATAAATACTCAACTATCCAACAAACTGCACCAGAGCACAGACAGAATTTTGACTCCTGTCTTCTGAAGATGCCGGCCACAGAGACTGGCGAAACGTTAGGAAGAAAAACCTTAAGAACATGGCCAAACAGCCCAGAAAACCCATAGATATCTTTTGATTTGTATTCTTGCATTGAACAGGGGATTGGACTTGATAGCTTCATAGGCTCCTTCCAACTTCATGATTCTATGATCTCCAAAGAGGGTTCATCTTTTGTTTTCTGCTGCATAGTTATTTACCTTCCTCCTAGTCTGCAACTGCTTGAGGGACGCTGCCAGGCAAAGGGAAGCAAGCTGTTTTCTCTCCTCACCGTTGTCGCTGCTAGTGAACCCAAAGGGGAAAGATGGGAAGCACTGACACAACAAGGAAGAGGGGGGGGCAGAGTGAGAGACTGGAACTTAAAAAAACCCAAAAAACTCTTGACTCGTTACTTACGGTAGTAATTTTTCATCATAATATCTGGCAAGTGTCACTAATTATTTGAAGAGAGATGTGTTAGTGATATGTTAATAATGCTTTACCTTGTCAACAATGGTTTTAAAAATACACTTCAAAAAACAAAAATGATACAAATCCCCAAATGATGCTACTATAGCTACCTTTTACAAGAAGTTAATGAATGTTACTCATCGCACAAAAATCCTTACAAATGTCCCCTTCTGTCACTACCATGCTCTAGAGGGAGTTTCCAGTCTGCATTTTCCCCAGTAGGGCTTATAATAATAGTGTGTTTGTATGCGCACGTAGGAGCTATTTAATCTGGGGAAATAGCAAGAGAAAACATTAATCCCTCTTTCTCCAAAACCACTGCTCTGATCAAAACCACAGCTCCCAATGGACAGTTCTTTCTAAACTGGCTTCTAAAACTGTTCAGCTGCTATTTCCTAATATGAAAAAGTAATGTGTCATTTGTTGGTAAGTTATTACATGAAAGCAGCATTGTTGTGTACTCCTGACCCCACCAAAAACAAAACAAAATAAAAAAAACCAAAAGTAAAGAAAAACAGCATTAGAAAGATTTCTCAGCTTTCTGCACAAACTAATCCATGGCCCTGTTTTCTTTTTCTTTTATTTATTTCTCCCATTTTCCATACAAGAAAATGCCAGAAAAAGAGAGGCTTCATGCCCTTTTTTGCAGGTGAGCCCTCTGTAGAAAAGATGCCCCGTGTGCATAGAACTGTAAGAATCCTGCACAGTTGGGTGCATCTTCTGCCCCTTTCAGGTGAGTCCTAGCCAGGGAATATGTCATTCTGTGCTAGAACTGTAATAACTCTAAGCAGTTTGGTATTTCTTCCCAAAAACAGAAACAAAAACAAAAGCCCCAAAGCCTACCACAAAATGTCTGAGAAACCTCATGAGACTTCTTGTGAGGTTTCTTGAGGGTGGAGGACTCACTGCAAGGAGAAAAGCATGATTTTTTTTCCTTATCTCTTCTCTAAATCTGAGAGGCTATGAGGAGCCTTCCTCTACTTCCAGCCCCAAAAGGCAAAGATTCCCCATGGCATTTTTAGTCCAGTCGTGTCTGACCCTAGGGAGCGGTGCTCATCCCGTTTTCAAGCCATAGAGCCTAGAGCGTGTCCGGAGACAGTTTCTATTGCCACGTGGCCAGCGAGACAAGGAAACACCATTTTACCTTTCCACCGAGGTGGTACCTATTTATCTACTGCCATTTGCATGCTTTCGAACTGCTAGGTTGGCAAGGAACTGGGACAAAGCGACGGGAGCTCACTCCATTGTGTGGATTTGATCTTACGACTGCTGGTCTTCTGACCCTGCAGCACAGGCTTCTGCTGTTTAGCCCACAGCGCCACCATATCCCACTTCCAGTCCCAACCAAGGGAGAAAAGGCAGACAGACAGTGGTGATGGTGAAACTATCTGACACGATCTTGGGAATGATCAGTTACTTATTAATATCGAGAAGCCTGCTACGACAGAGGGCTGCGATCACAAGACTTAATTACAAAACTCTTGCATCAAGTCTCTTGTCTTGTTGCCACCTCTCAAGAACAGCCCGAAACAGTTTTCTCCATAAGGCAGAATAGTAAATGGCACCCACCTCCCTCTTTCAGCCAAGTCAAGGTATACAGTATTGTAGCCAAAGACTGTGAAGGTATTTTGCACATGAGACAAAGATCCCAGAAATATTTCTTTCCCCTTCCTGGTAGTGAAAAATGCAAAGCTAATGAAGAATATAACAATCCTTAGTACTTTCCTCACATCCAAAATGGTTTGTCTCAGTAAATTACTTCATTTTGCCAGATAGTTTTTCTATACGTTTACAAAAGCTGTCATTCCTATTANTGCCGGCCATTACGAAGCTTCGTTAAACGGTGAGTATTTGGCCCATTTGGAACGCATTAAACCATGTTTAATGCGTTCTAATGGGCTTTTCTGTACTGTTTAACGATGCTTCAGCATAGCGAAGGTTAATCCGGAACGGATTAACCTCGCTATGCGAGGCACCACTGTATCTGCTCCAGAGCTTGAAAAAGTTATTTATTCTTAGAATCGCACAATAGCCAAATTAGTTGAAGGATTCTGGGAGTTCTGTAGTCCAAACAAGTAAACTTTTTCAAGCTCTGATCTGCTTTGCAATGGCTGATCTTCCATTACTAATCTTTGACAATTTAATTGGCCCTAACAAGGGTAATGTCCTATTATGGGTTTTGAATTTTGTTTCTCTAAAAGACCAATTCATCCAACCACTTATGATCTTGACCTGTGGTTATTACACCATACAAATATTCTGCCCACATAGCAATTGGGAGGGTAAATATGTTACAGGCATAGGCACATGATTGAATCTATTGACCTATTTTGCATTTTCCTTTTCCTTTATTTATTTATTCTTGGTTAAAGAAATCATAAGGTTAGTTTAGTTTAGCCTTTAAAACTAAAGTGAAGTAGTAAAAGTAGGGCAAAACTTTGCTAAGAGAGAAAAAAAGCAATACATGGGGTGGGATGGGGAATGGGTTTTCAATATTTATTGTAAAGTTGTGAAATGTTAGACTGTACAATGAACTCCATCAAGCACATCCCCGGGGATATAACCCTTCATTCCTCTATTAGGCTTACATCTGGTTTCTTTTGATGTATTTTGCTATCCTTCTGATCTTTCTCCTGAAATAACTCCATTTCTTACACTGAATATGTCTCAGGAGACTCTTGCTTTTTTGTAACAGAAAGCTTTGGACTAAAAGAATTTATTTAAGGGAGTGGGAAATTGCATAGCAAAATACATCACTACTTGGTATGCTCCATTCAACAGCTTTCCCCAACCTATCACTCTCTAGGCATGTTAGACTACAACCTCTATCATTCTCAGGCCCTAGTAACCACATTGCCTTACTATGGTTTGTAGTTGACCACATTTGGAAGGACTCGCATGCAACATTCAGCAAATAGAAATATGGTTCCAATAAAGGGTTGTTACATTGCTTTTCTAGTGTGATCCATCATGTGGACCATGATGAAGAAAATCAATTGGTAACAACCCTTTATTGGGATTATCCAAAACTTCCCTTTGGAAGTGATTTGGTGCCAACACTGGAAGATTTCTAAGCTATTCTAAATGCTTCTGAATTTCACCCCTCAGGGGGTGAAATTCAGAAGAGATGTTCATAATGTCTGGGGGTCTATGCTGGTTGACAGTGCCTAAGAAAGAATAGTGTGTCATATTCTAAAACAAACAGATTCCAAATGTCTGTATGCCCATTATTGCTATACTTAACCTCAAGAGACAGGAGAATTTCACTGGCCACTTTAAATGATCAATATAATAAAACAAATAAAAAAACACCACGTGTGTGAAACAAGCCTTAAAAGCCCTGCCCTGACATTTTTTTTTTTTGTTATGCCATCTTGGAAATGTGTTGTTTTGCAATTAATTCTTATAATTGTATTTTTATATAAGTTATATTAATATGTTAATGTATTAATGTGTTTTTATCTATGTAAGCCGTCCCGAGTAGACATTGTCTACAGTGGCAGGGTAAAAATCTAATAAATAAATAAATAAAATAAACCTGGTGTTTCCTACTAGTCAAAATTGGTTTCAAGATGGAACCACAGCTCTAATTAAGCGCTGCATTTAAATCTCTTGAAACAAGGTGAAATGTTGCATATAGTTGTTCTGCATGGCTATATCACAATGCAGAAATAATGTGGTGAGGATGGGGTCTGCTTAATTTTCGAATGCCCTCTAATCACAAAATTACAACGCTCCAAGGCAGCTAGGATTGAGAATAAATGAAAGTTTCAGGCGTCAGAACTGCAGATTTCGTAAAGGCCCCTCTCATTCCCCTCATAATTCAAGCCCTTTGGCTGGTGTTTGTTCACAATGAAATAAAAGAATTATGTCTATTGTTGTCCCCTAAATAAGAACAGAAGTGTTTTCTTTTCTACTTTTTAGGATTCTGCTGCCTCCTGACCTTGATACTGTTTCCAGTGAATGTGGAAGTGAACCAACTGTCTTTGTTGGCCATCAGACATTGCAGGCCTTTAAAGGAGTCCAAACACTCCAACACTTACGGATATTCATACTGGATCATACTACTTATAGCCCTTTTCAATGCTGTCACCATCACAATAATTGTTTTCTATCAACGTGCCTGGAATTCAAAAAGAAAGGAACGAGAAAGACCGACAGAAATTGCACCAAAAGATGGCATTTTATTCTAGTGGCCTCTGTTCTTTCATTTCAAGAGCATGTTAAAGCAAAGACTTAGCCATCAGTTAGACATGTGGCCTATGGACTCATAATATGGGAAATTCTTTGAAAGGTTATTACCCAAATTTATAAAATTGAACAACAATGTTACCATGCCACCAAAACTAACAATGGAAATTCAATATGTTATGTTTAAGTAGTTATTTCTTAAGCTATTGTAATGTATTTCAGTTTCCTTTCATAAATTTATTTCTTTAAGGATTCATCAGAGATCTGTACGATTTGTGGGTCTTCTTATTTTACTTAAAAATTCATTCCGAGGTAGATTGTTGTATTACTCCAACACTTGCTCCATTGTCCATAGGTTGGAAATACCATTATAAAGGCCAAATACAACTATTCAAAAATGTGTTCTAGGCTGTTGCAAAAAAGCACTGCTCCACATGACTCTAGATTTTGTTTTATAAAAGTATACTTAAGAGAAGGGGGCCAGTGGGGAAAATCTATGGGAAGGGGAGGAAATTTGGCCAGTGGCGAACAGTTTACCCAGCTCATTCATCTCACCCACAACCTATTGAAAATTATTAACTATTGAAAATCATATTCTTTCTGAAAGCAATGCAGTGATCAGGCAGAGCCTGAAAAATAGTTTTTAAGAATAATGGCCTGTGCCTGATATGAAGAGGAAAGAATCACATAAGCATTTCTCCCACTCTGACATTCACTCCCCACAATTGTGTGACCAGTCATACAACTGGTTGCATTACCACATTGCATCCAGTGTGAAACCTGGCATGCAAAGGGAAGCGTGCCAGATCAGGATAAATGCTTACATGGCTGTCATTCTGTTCCTTGTTTTCTGCAAACCATATTGACCTATGGATATGATGAAGTGCTGAAACTAGCCATAACTGAGCAGCTATAGGATGGTCTTCTGAGTTTCAGAGTATCATTCTACACTGTTTAGTTCTGGAGAACTACAACATATCAATATATTTGTACTTCTTGAAATTCACTGTCCACATTTTGTGGACAGTTTGCATATTGTTTGTAGGTAGACTCTTAAATGGCTTTTGAAAAGAATTAGACAAATCCATACATATATGTGCCCCCAGATCTTCCACGTGGAGAGGGTGTCAAAGAGACCCATAGGGATGTTCATAAGGGTGGAAACAGAGCTGATTTTTAACACAATTTTATTAGTATGTTGAAGCATGGATTATTTTGACAAGGAATAGTTTTATATTGATCAGAAATGAGGTATTTTACTGTTCTGCCATGGGGCTCAACAATGACCAATTGTATGCAAGTCCTGCTTACACAATTTGGGATCTTTTGATTGGCTGCCTTCAAGAAGAGAATAGATGGGCATTTAGCCTCATGTAGCCTGAACTTGTAGAAGAACTTGTTACTTAGATTACAGTTCCCAGACATCCCTCCCCCCCTGCTCTGGTTAGCATTAGCTATGTTCTAAAATGTGGATTTAGCAGGGTTCTTTCTATGCATTAAGAAAAGCGAATGGTTTCTAAAAAGCAGCATAGGGATTGTTCAGACAGGCATTTGTCCCACTGTTTGGTGTGTTGTGGGGGTGGATTAGTTTGGCCTTTTTTCTGGTGATCACATGATATAATGGCTAGAGCGGACCAATTTGCCCCCAGAGCACCCCAACACACATCTTTTGAGTCCCTGTTGGGGCATCTACTTTTTTAATGCAGCTGTCTATGTTTCCAAGGTTCCTTCTGGCGTCAATTTCCAGTATTGTGAAGTGACTCAATAAGCAAGACACTTCAGGATATCAGCAAATTAAACACATCCCCTGCTCCTCTACTTGGGGGCAGGGGAAGTGAAAAATTTTGCTTGGCTCTGCTAAACCATTGCTGTTGCACTGAATCACTTAGGTTAAATAGAAAAACATTGTTTGCCCTTGTGTGAAGTGTCAATAGAAAACATGGTTGGGGTCAGTTTCTCAATTGGAATTACACTCAAAGAAAAACAAAAAGTCTAAGTGATTCAATGCATCAGAAATGGTATAGCACAGGCAAAAATAATAATTTCATATCCCCTGCAGAGGTGTAGAGGAAATGTTAAATTGACAGTCGAAGGAGTTGAAGCATTGCTTGAGGTTGATACGCTATTTGGACGTGAAGATTGCACCAAATAGCATATCACTTCTCCCCTTGACTTCAAGCAACCCTATTTACATCACATCAGCCCACACCAAAAGGGGCAAGATTAACATGTCCAAAGTTGCAGATCAGTCTGCAAACAGAGGTTGCTACAGGACAGACCTGCCCTGTTACTAGACAGAAAGATTTAACAACTTCAGACAGCAGATTTTTGGGTGTCATGTGAGAATGACAGAGGTTCTGTTATTAACTTGCAGTGACTGCAAAAGTTCATTTTTAGTCTATAAATATTGCTACTAAGCTTATTTTCAAAATCAATAGCTTTCCTGTATGGCCCTTTGTATCACTGTACATGTGGCATAAAGTATGTTCATGGGATGTAGCGCTTCAAGCTGATCACTTTCAGAAAGGAGATTGTGATAAGCATTTCAATCCGTGCTCAAGATGATAACTACATGAAAACATGGAATCTCCTGAGGTTTGTCCACTGCTGATAGCAGTCTCTTGCTGATACACAATTGCTGGAGCTGTGCCAAGCCACTTACTTTCAAAGTCCCTGATGTGGGATCTCGAATAATACAAATGCTCTCTTTCAGTGATAAGGTCTGATTGTAGATTTAGCCACATTGCATACTAGATGTTGGCTCAGCAGAAACAGTAACAATTGCTCACTGAAGCTCACTGTGAAAATTTCTGCAGCTCAAGCAGAAGTGAAAAATGCTTGGCTGCGTACCCATTTAGCTTGTGGGTACAAAAGCATCTGATTATTGTAGCTTGAACATCTGCAATGGCAAAAAAAAGTCTTGAAACCATCTATAACCCACAGTTATCTCTCAAAGAGTTTATTCAGTCCCTCATATGGAACTTTCCTCAGTGGATTCATATGATTCAGGGGTGATGAACCGCCAGAGCTGGGGCTGGATCTAGTCCTCCTGGATCCCAAGTACTCACTCTGGGCTTTCACATATAGCCATGCCCTATTCCCCATGTCACTACAATCTGGTGGTTTCCCAGTTTTTGAAGGGGTTTCCTCCAATGCTGAAAGGGTATAATGACACTTTGAAGGCTTAGCTAGTTGCACTAAGAGCAGTGATTGCTTTTTATTTTTCCCTGGCTTCTCTCACTCCTAGAATGCAGTCACATTCCCCTAGCTTCTCTGAAATTGAATGTTGTGAACCACCCAGAGTAGACTCAACTATAAATCAATCAATCCATCTGTCCGTCTGTCCTTCCGTCCGTCCGTCCTTCCATCTGTCCGTCCATCCGTCCGTCCATTTCAGCTTTTGGTCTGAAAACGTTTCCCACCCCTGGGAAAGTCAGCTGGCTTTGTGATTTGACCACTTTCCCAGTGTTCCGATTCTTTGCAGATCACTATATTTCTCTGTTATACTGCCAAAGTGGGCACCTTGGTGGGAAGAGAAGGGGGCCTCATAGAATTCTGCCCATTGCACTTGGTACTGCACCATGCAGTTGTAGCAATGATGGCAAAAGAAAACAGGAAAAAAAAGAAGCTAACTTTTCTTCAGAATTGATAAGAGAGCACTGGAAACTGATGGCAGAGTCACAACAACCAAAAAGGGACATTTTTAAACTTTAAAAAACAACTTACTTTAAGTTGCAGAATTTTGAATTTTTGGTGAAATTCTCTTCTTGCTACGCAGTAGAAGTACAAAGCTCCACAAAGAAGAAATCAACCCCTTTCTCAATAATTGGCACTTAAAATCTCAATAACTCACTCTGAGACATTAGTAGGAGAAAGAATTAAAAATGTTTCTTTATGTCAAGTTGCATAAAATTACAGTTGGATATACTGCTTTCTTTACTTCACACATGCTAGCAAGTAACTGGACAGATCAACAGCAACAAATAACTGCCCCAACTGATGAAAGAGAGGGATAGAACACTCAGCAGAGAGGTGAGACACTCTTTGAATTTCAAGAGCTAGAAGGAACAGTTGTTTTGTGCAATATTGATAGACAATCACCCCAGCCAAGAAAAATCCCTCCCAGTCACTCAAACCGCAGAACAGCATGTGAGGTTGTAAATAAAACTCCAACATTTTAAAATGGAATTACGCTTCCAGAAGCTAGTTCTGCTTTAAAACTAGGTATGCACTCACCATATGCCTTGTTGTTAATGAAAAATGCCACTGAGCTGATTAAAAGATTTCCTTTCTTTTTTTAGTTTCAGGGTGCACATGACTTCATCCCCTTCCTGAAATGTAAAAAGAGAGTCTTTAATTGGTGGCAATCTGCTATTGTCAATGGCAACATTCCTGTTGGCCAGGACATGCAACAGGGCTTTGCCCACAGTTTGGCTGCTGTTACCAAAAAATTTTAGCAATACAGCAGGAATTTCAGTGGCAATAGCTTTGGTGGGCCACAAAAAAGGAGCGGGGAGCATAAAAACTATGGGCCATGTTCTGCTCTTCCCACTTTGGACAATGCTTGAAAAAATTCTGAATTTAAAAATGAACAACTGCATTTGATGTCTGCTTTCCTGATGCAATGAAACAGTATGCATGAATGGAAGTTGGGAATAATGTGTTCAGCAGCCAGTTCCTTGAATGGTCCTGCATCAAATTAAAAATTCATAAAAATTTCTTTTCTTTTCTTTTCAGAGTACAGTTCTCTGAATCCCAGTTGACATACTGCCTAAGGAATTCCAGGAGTCCAAAATGTTGCTTTTTCCAAAATCTGGCTTAGATCCTTGAACAACTGAAAAGGCAAGCCACTTTCTAAAATGTTCACTAAAAATGCATTGCCTCCTCTGCATGATTTTAAAAAAATAATAGCATTTTAATATTGCTTTCACTGTAATCTGAGAAATGAGGGATGAGTTGAACCAATTAGCTATTGTAAAAATAGCTCTTGCTTCCAGTTAAGGGGCAGTTTGCCACTCTGTTTCAGCCCACAGCAACTATGGGTTTTCTATCAGCCTGTTGTCACTGCTTGCAAAGAAAACTTCTGCGACTATCTACTGATGGTTTGAAGTGCACAATTCCTACACAGTTTTCCATGGTCTACTTTCCACATGTACTGGCCTTCATGACTTTCAGATGTTTTAGACTAAAATTCCATCATTCCTAATCATGGGATATGATTCTAGTGCTAATGGGAATCATGGTCCCAAACTATTAGAGGACTGGGGATACTTCAGGATAGTAGCCACACATATAAGCTTTTATAA